AGTGGTTTCAGTACCTACTCAATAAGGCTACTAAAAGTCTGGGAAAAGGGAATTTGAATTATAGAGTTGGAGGGTGAGATACCAATTAAAAGAAAATGGAGATTGAAGGCTTCAAAATCCTTTTTATCCACTACCAAGATATGAACAATTACCACAACTATTACCACTGAGAGCTACTAGTTTAGCTTCTTGTCCTTTGCAAGTCTCAGGCTACTAACATGTGAATAATGTCTACTTATTTCATAACTTTGTGAGGAATATCTCAAAGTAATTCAGTTACTACACCAGGTACCAGAAAAAAATTATGATTAACCACTGATTAACCATTAATTAACCATTGATTAACTCTGCTGCCATTTCTTTATGCTAATTTAAGCAAATGGTAGCAGAGTTATTTATTTTCTCTAAAAATTGTGAATGCCACCTATTAGATGAAATTAAAATGGAATATGAGGAAGAAATTGCGTTCAAGCAACATGAAAACTGACTACAGCGGCAACTTCTTTTTCTTAAAACTTGTTTCTATGATGTACCACTCCCTACACAAAAGTACATCCAAGAATTAAGATCTTGTTATTTATATTTGGCAAAATAAACACCGGTAACACACCCTTAACACAGCCCTATGTGTGTATGTATGTATGTGTGGATGTACGTCTCTGTCTACCTATACCACGAATTCTAACACTAACAAGATGATTAAATAAAACAAAAGGAAAAAACTGACATTATTAGAAATTAAATACATTATGTTGTGACATAAACCTATAATAAAGATGATGTCCTGTGGAGTAAGTGATTTACTGGGCTCTACCAATTAACTTCTGTTATGATACTATCATTTAATGGTGATAGATAGCCTGGTGCTCTGAGTACACTGTGCCTGGAAAGCTAAAAAACTTGTAAGAACTTACTAATTTTTTTACCAGGATGACAGTATAACTGCACTTTATTATGCTAAAATGCAAAAGATACATTTTGGTTCTCACTCCTGCGGTAATGGAAGGGTGACAGTTATTTTTTTAGAAGAGTTAATATCAGAGACCAGGAATTGTGATGATTCTCCTTCTTTGTGGTACAGGCTAGACAGGCAGTATTAGCGTTTAAGATTAAATTTTCAGCAGTGCATAAGGTTATACTTTTAAGTGCCTAGCATCCACATTTGGGTCAGATTTTTCAAGATGCCAGCAGCCTATTAAGCAGATGCACACAGATCAGACTTTCAAATGTGCTAATGTATTTTGACACTCTAGTTCCTTACGTTAGGTCTTAGAAGGGAACTGAGCTTCTCTTAGAACTCTGCTCTCATTTGTGACTCCTAAGCTCTTCTGCAACATTCGGACTGAGGGCCCAATTTAGCCCTTACTGATCAGGCAATTTTAAAAAACTGCTCACCTGCAACTCCCTGTTTAGTATTACCTAATCGATATGCGGAAACGTTCCCTAACGCAAAAGAGATGAGCAGGTCATCCTTGCTGTGCCGCAGCGTTCAGGTGCACGTGCGCGCACTTGTGTGCACTTCAGGCACATTTTGTAAATATTTCACCTTCCCTTACACACGAGGAAGTAATTGGTACATGCATGTTTTGGAAACCATTCAAAGTTGATTTTCTGCGTGGGTAAACAAAGTGCTCATTGGTGCCAGCTTGCTTCAGTCGGGCGGCGTGAGGCAGAACGCGGGGCAGTGGCATCCTGCAGCTTCAAGGTACCTCCTGGCTTTTATGTACAGAAGGTAGGGAAAGAAGGAAGGAGCTCGTGATACTGGCAGAACAAGGACAACGCCAAAGAAAGAGTTACTTCTCTGGATTTTATGCGCAAAGGATGTATAAATTACTATTGAATCAATGCAGATGCTTAAAACCAATCTGATAAATTCCATATTTACATACTAAATGTAACTGTTTAAATCATGCCTGTATAGATTTCAATGTAGGCAGGACTGAAACGTCTACACATTTCAGTATTGTGCTCTTACATATATATTTAAACTTTTCAGAGTCTATTTGCACTTCATTGAAATCAGCACAATCTACAAGGTTGCCACATCTTGCATTTGTGGAAATTTATAGAAGTGGCGTGGCATTGCCAACCCTACACAGGGAACATTTGATAGTGGCTGTCAGAGAATCTCCCTGAAAAATGGTTACTCCTCCCCACCTTTTAGGGACCAAATGGCAGGATTAGATCCACTACTGCACAAGTAGGCTCAGCAGGCCTAAAGTAAAGTTAGCAGTTGGGATGCTACAATGCTCACGCTACTGAGATTTGTCGGCCAAAACAAAGCTCGTGGTATTTATTCAAACAAAATGCAATCAATATGAAGACAATCCACAATTTCTTTTCCCTGCTTCCAAACACCAGCATGGAAAGTATTATGACACTGTATCATAAATCACGAACACAGACACAGAGGTATAAACCCATCTTTGTCTACTGTTTACAGTAGAGTCAACCTGGGAATCTTTCTAGACAGTGCAGATACGGCAAAAATGTCTGAAACACCCAAGATTTCTTATTACACTCTCTACAGCTATAGAAAGGCTAACATATTTTAAAACAGAAAAATAAATAGTGGAAGGAAGCAGAAGTAGCAATAAAATATATTAAAATGTGAATTGCTACTGATTGATTTTATAATGGCATTTTATTTTTTTTATATTAGCTGCATTTACATTAATCAAGTTCTCAGTTCTATGAAAATAAGCTATCCTGGTTTTGTCTATTAAAAAAAAAAGACAAAAAGAGCAATTCAATTTTATTTTAATTTTGGCAGCATTTTAAAAATGAAACACTGATGGTCTGATACCCACTGATGGGGGGTAATTCTGCAAGTGCTATTTTACACCTACAGGTTAGTGTAGCTACAGCTGATAGAAGTTTGGTATCTGCTGCCTATACAACCTGAAGCTGAAATGTTGAATGCCAGCAGTCAAAACACTGTTGAAAGTGAAGTGGAATGGCTGGGCTGCTTTTTAACTCCTCCTTGCAACAGTTTCACTTTAAGACAGCAATTTTATTTCTTTTAAGATGAGGGAAGGAAATGTTTTCACTTCAGTGTGCCCTGAATTTTAGTATGCTGAACTGTCTTTCTCTCTGACATTATCCTGGTTGTAATTTCCAGTGAAGTTAATGAAGCTACAGATGATTTTGATACACTCTATGCACAACGTATGACTAAACTTTTTTTTGGCAGCAGTTATTTTTTATTATTACTTAAACACTGCATGCCTTCTTTTGGAGGAGGAAAAAAAGGTGTGAATGGTATTCACTATCATATCCCTATATTCTAGCCCTTATCCTTTTTATCAAGTAAACTACAGAAATAATTCTAATTTAGTCTTTGAATTACAGAATCAAAATAAATACAAAAAACCTTCTCCATTTAGACTCCTAATTCCAGACAACTTTCTCGCTCTGATCATTAAGCATGACCAATTTTAAGGAAAAAACCTTTCCGTAGCCGCAAAGCATCCTCAAGTGTCTATTTACAATGTTCAAAAATTAGAAATAAATCTTCAATTAAGAATAATTTTGATCTTTAGAGGGATTTTAGCATTTTGCTAATTCTGGAAATAAGATAATATTCTAAAACTCAGGGCAGAGTTAGTGGGGTGGAGAATATTTTACAAAGAAACTAACAAGCCTTTTGGCTTTGCATGTTTTTGAATTATATTTCCAATTAAAAATGCAGAGTGCTAAATCACATTACAAAGATAAATAGGAAAGTACAACTTCATTGTTGAAAACAATTTCCCTCCTATCAATCTGAGGATTCATGCATCAATATTGTAGATGAACTGTTAATTACAAAATCAATTAAAAAATTATTTCTAAAAACAGTCACGCGTCCTGGCTCTCAGGGGGGCAATTTGGGCAGAAGGTCTCATCTCACTAGGACCGCGCCAAATCACAAGTCGTCATCCACAAGTAAGCAAAAGCAATCTGGTTTTTCATTTTTCAGCGCGGCTGAGCCCAGCCTGAGATTGATCGTCACATATGGCCCCAGAAAACAAACTGTCAATACCTTGAATGCTGCAGAATTTGAACAAATAGCCGTCCGCCCATTCAAGCCACTCATTGCATCCCATTTAACAGATTTTATTGACAGTTTCCTTCTTGTAATTAAAGGGAAAACTACTGGCCAGCAACCAAGATAAAGTTCAAAGATAGGGTCAAAACAAAAGCAGATGGAGGGGCACGGTGTGACTGTCAATGGAACATAGCATCAGAGCATGTTATTGACACACAGGTATCTAATGATCGGCACGTCATTAAAGAGGGATCTATCGTGAACTTTATGCAAATGCTAAAAGGGACTTAAGACCACAATAAAGCATTAAGGAGACACAAAAGGAAAAACAACAAAGCACCAACGATTTTTACTTATCTGACAGTATTCACTGCTTCAGCACTTTTAAATTCAAATGCAGAAAAAAAATTCTTTCTGAGATTTTTAACTCTTGATGCACAGGTAATAATTTTTGCAGAAGCACTATCTCTAAAAATGCATAGGATCCCTAAGGTAAGGTGTGGTCCTTGTGAGATTTAATAAGGATTTCCTCCCTCCTTCCGTATCCTGAATTCACTCCATCAAATAAATCAGCAGCTGCCTTTAAAGAGAAAATATATAGCCTATTCTTCAGCATCCTTTCTTTCCTTTTAATTGCAATGATTAGGCTTGTCTGAATTATGGAATGGTTTTAGGAGAACAACATCTATATTCATTTGAAGGGATCTCTGCCTGTAAAATACTCTCCAAATCATACAGTGGAATATTTTCCACTCTCTTAGGGACATATTCCCCAATTACACTGAAACAGAAAGTTGTTCTTATTTTGAACTGCTTTGTTTGTCGCTCTTTAGCTAAAGTCTGATTAGCAATTTCTTATTCTAAAACCATGTTTAAAACAAGCATGCAGAAAGTATTATGGAAGGTAGGAAAAAAAAACAAAAAAAGTGACACATTAAAAATGTAGCAACCGTCATGCCACTCTGCCAACCTGAATTAGCAAGTGCTATAGCTTTGAGGGTGACAAACTCTTCTTTCTCCAGCTTCATGCTCTTGTATTTTTTTACCAGCTGCAGTATGGCATTGTTAAGGTCAAGAAGGCCTGCCAATTTGGATTGATCTTCATCCATAATATAATCTTCAGCATATACGAGCTCGTCCTCAAAAGAAAGTGACCGGTATACAACACCGAGAATCAAAATCTCCATCCAAGCACTCTGCAGAAGGCTCATCTGGTCAGCTAGAGACAAAGTGGAGAATCCTGAGTAGGAAGAAAAAAAAAAAAAAAAAAAGAAATATTAAGCACACCTGGATTTATCAGAAATCTACTCCTCTTTTTTATTTTTATATACATTGTGATAAAACATGCTATTATTCTCCTTTCTGCTTTTGTGCCTCTCCTCATCCTATTACAAGAAAGTGAATCAATATAAAATCAAATGTTTTCTAATCAAAACCAAAGTTTTAAACAAGCTGGAATTTGCAGGCTCTTCCTGTGAGAATGATAGTAATTTTGGGAGTTCTGCAGTGACAGTCTGTGACTTGTATCATGTCTTCTTTGTTCTGAAATAGTTGTGCTTAGTTCTAAAAACCTGATGCTGTGAAACAGGGATCTGCTGACTCTATTCATCACTACCATAAACCAAGAAGGACAATTTCGAAGATAAAAAGATAAAACTTTTTTAAAAGGGAAGATCTGATGTCTCCTAAATAGAATTAAGGAGACAGTCAAAAAGAGAAAAATTCTCTTTGAACTTTAACCTCAGGGGAAAGAGACATAACACCCACCTTTCACAGAACAGACACTAATCATTTCAGTAATGGCTTCTGCTTCTACTACACTTGTTGAAATAACAGGGTGACACATTGAAATGCCAACTGAATAGCAGTCACATCATCCTTTTACTAAGGGCAACCAAAATTTTAATAAATGCCTCTTAATTAATTTAACTTTTGCTTTTTTTTTTTTCTCTCTCTGCTGTCTTTCCTAATAGGATCACTAAAGGCAAACATCTTTACTGTCTTACCTTTTCAGACTCTTGTTTACAGTACCTGTTAATTTATTATATCAAACTGCTAATATCCCAATCACATTAGGTGCTAGAAAACAATATGGGAGAGGAAGCGATTTTCCTGGCCTGTTGGTGAAATGCAGCAGTTTGCCAGTTGGCACCATCAACCACAAGTACTTAATAAAATCATCAAAGGGGATTAGTCAAGCTTTTCTTAAAGGGTCTTAAGACATGTCTGAGGCTTTCATTTAGTTGTTTATGGAGCTGCTTACATGTCCTCTGACAGGGTTCCCGCTGTAAGAACATTCTTTTTTGCGTTCAATTACACTTAAATGCATTTTTCTGTTTTGAAAGTCAAGAGTTACAGTCAAGCAAGAATATATCATAAACTAGCAAATCTGCAAGGCATCTGCTCCAAACAAGATTTTCTCTATAAGCACTAAGCAGCAAAACTAATACAATAAAAAAGAAAAGCCCACATCCAAACCACCAGGCATCCATAAAAAATGAAACATAAAACTGGCTGCATGCTCTCTCTCTCTCTCATTTTTCTCTCCCTCCTTATTTGTTTTCATTTTCTCGTACTGTCTTTTGAGTCTTGTGATAGAACTGTAGCTCTCTTCTTTCAGAAAAACAAACAAAACACCAACAAAAACTGAGCCAACAACAACAGGAAACTCTTGAAGATGTGACAATGGAAAATAACACATCTGTGATTAAAATAAATAAGAGGGAAATGGAGAAGAAATAATCATTTCAAAGGTTATAGGGAGGAATTCATGATTTCAATTAACTTCAGCATTTCTGTTCCTTCCCGTCTTTCAAGAACCAGTTTTTCTGCAGTAGCAGATGGACAGAGAATGTAGCCTGCAGCACCGTCCTGTGACAGCCCCATTCTCCCTCCCAGACACTGCTGTTAGTAAATAGATTTACACATTCTCCAATCTCCACACATCTTTCTGCCGAATAATTAAAAGCAGGATGATTAGTTTATTGAGTGGAAGGAGGAACTTTTTTATTGAGGTCCATCCACGATTTTATCAGGGCCAGCACTTTTACGGTTGTCATGAGGGTGCAGGCATCCAATTTTTCTTATCTGCCTGATTAATACAAACGCTGTTTCAGGACGCATTAATTAACAGATACAAATCTACGTTCTCATGGAAGGATCAATACAGAGAAGAAAAGAGGCATCAATGTGAATTTAGTGCTGATGATGGAGAAGGCACTCTATTGACATTTACGTGCATAGAAACTTTAAAGTTGCAGTGGAGCCCTTTTGTCCCTGTGATTTACAAATTAACAATTTTTCAGGTATAACAATGTTTCACACACTTCTGTGGGGTTTAATTAAGAAAAAAGCAATAAAATCAGTTTTGATTAAAAAAGTTTAAGCTGCAATTTCTCTCCGTATTTGGGTTTTTTTCCTGAACACTCCCCAACTTCCTTTTTTATTTGTTTATCTATTTTAGTACAGTTTTGTTGTCATTGGTTTCATTTTTTAAAAATAAATAATACTATGTTTCAATAACATTTATTGTGTGCCACAGTCAAAGAAAATTACGTTTGCCCTCTGAAGGGGGGGGAAATGGAATGTTGCCTATAATTTATTGTATTGCACTCTTGAAAAATCTGCATTCTGGAGCAGTAAATATACCAGTTGCTTTTATTTGACACATTAAAAAATCAAAAGAAATTTTTTATATTATAGAAAAACTGGCAAATATAAACCACACTGTTCCACTCTTCAATAATAAATCAAATCAACATGACTATTTTCTTCCTGATCGAAGTAAGTTTCCCTTGAAAGCCTGTTCAGTGAAAGCATGTTTTAACTTTTAAAGGCATCCCTCGTGGGAATGTAAACCTGCATCAAGTTGTAATTAATCTGTTTTTGTTTTGATTTTTCAGGAAATGTGAAAGCATCCAGCATATCTCTTGTATCACAGCAATACCCTTTTAATATGTATTCAACAAGTCACAATTAAAATAATAGCTTACACAGGAATATATATTTATATACAGAATAGATTACACAGGCATATGTATTTTTATTATATAAAAAGATTTATTTTTAATTGTCTGGAGGAGATTATACTTATTTCACACCAAGCTCTGAGTCTGCGAGCTCTTGTTATGTGAATGCCCCAGATCAACCACATCATCTGACAAGTGGACATTTTCTATATTAAATTGTAACTACTTTTTAAAATGTCTCCACATTGGATGAAATACACTTCCAGCTTTCCGAATCAGTGTTAGCCTCTCCACCCACACCTCCAAGCTCTTTCCAAACCATGCCGAGATGCTGCACGATGGTGTGGTTCTGGACTTTAGTCGTGCATTGTGTGCGCCCTCAATCTTTGAGAGTCCTGCAGGTCACCACTTTAAACGTAGAACTGTGCAACAGCTTTTTAAAATACAACGTTGTGCACCTTTCCCTCCCCCCTTAGCACGTACCATATTGGTGACAACTTTGATCTCTCTCCATCTCCCTCCCCAAGTCAATGCCATTTAATGTTTCTCAGGCGTTTGCTCGCAGAATGACTCTGTACCCTGACCTGCAGTTAAATAGCATGTTTATCTGAGATACAGCGCACTCCAAATAAACCAGATGACAGTTTGCAGTAACGTCATTTGGAAGGATTGAAAGGCTTCTCAGGAGTCAGGTACCCCTGAGGTAAGAAGCTTGAAGGAAGCATGTTTTGTGCCAACCCTCCTGCCATCTTCTACTAGACACTCGTGTGCTTGACAATGATGCCATGGGCACTTGTCAAGATTTTTTTTTTTTTTTTTTTTTTGCCTAGCAAACTGATGCACTTTGCAGTCAACTTACAAAAAAGGCTAAGCATTTGAAAGTGTGAAGGGCAAAAAATATCTGACGGCTAGTCTTCAAAAATACACTTTCATTTCAGAAAGCATAAATGTTTATTTCCTGAGCTGAGTGTTGACAGAAATAGGCTGCAGCGCAGGCATATGAATTTAACCCCTGGTAGGCATTCTTTTCAGTGTGGTTTTTATGTGGCTGAGTGCAAGCATTGTAAATCTACGGGGTGTCTCGTACTATCAGTTAACAATAGCATTGATTTGCTGGTTACAGACTTTTTTCCTTTTTTTCTTTCTTTCTCTTCCTTTCAGGGACTGTAGTGTTCTTCCGCTAAAAATAGACACTTTTCTACAAACAGTGTATCACACTCAAATTGTAATTATGCTGTAATGACTCACTGAGACAACTCAGGGTGGATTGAGGAAAGGTTGATTGAGCAACAGAATATATACCTGGTTTTTTTTCCCTTTTGCATACCAGTAAACCCAAAGCTCAAAGGAAGCAGCAATACAGAGGTAACAAGGCCTTAACATTTTTATTATAGGAACAAGGGGTGTTGAGCTGACTGCACTCTGCAGTGCTCAGCACTCCAAGCCAGCTCCAAGTACAGTTCACAGCCTCTTCAACAGGGCTGTTTAAACCACAGATCTTTTCAAATATCAGCACATGCACCACTTGCTCTCTATTTCACATTGCACACAGCTCCATGATAAGCAGGGTAAATCTTTTATATTCCTGAAGACCCTTTCCTCTACTTCATTAAGATGGACTTCATGGACACTAACTCACTAGGGGCCAGAGTGAAGCAGCTGCAGATGGTCAAGTGCCAAAGTAAGATCTGTGCCTTGCACACAGCACTTCGAGAACTACTGGCCAAAAAAACCCACAGTGGTTGGGCTTATCCCTACCATTATTTTAATCCTTAAACATTTGATACATGCCTCAATCAGGTTACTCAGACTCAAATCCTAGAGTTTATTTCACTTTGCAGAAATGAACTTCCTTTCCTCTCTGATACATGTTTAGAAATCCTAATATTTGATCAAACCTGGTATGAAATTGCTGGCAAATCTGGGAGATGCCTGCCTTTTCTGATAATTACCTCCCCTTTATTTTACCAGTTGTTTTGGTGATTGTTAGCTTTTTGAGTGAAATATTCCTCTTGCTTGCCCTGGTTAGTACTTCAAATATCTTCATTTACATTTTTTATAATCAAAGCCACGCTTGAAAATGACATGTTCACTAGTGTGTTGCAGATTCAATATATTTACACAGTTGAAAGAGTTGGATTTTTAAATTATTTGCACTTAATTTTGATAGATTAACTTCTTTCTAAATGTTTTATGGGTACTGATGTTTCCAGCACATTTTTTTGGCTTTCTTCCCCCCCCCCAAAATGATGTAAAGCCACTACTGTCCAAA